GGTCAAACCCCCTGCCCACAAGTTTACTATGAATTTAGTAATTTCTACTGTTTTTGCGCCGGCGCCAATCTTTCTAACGCTTGAATAGAAACTGTACTCATACCTCGGAGAACAGCCGGCTGGTGTGCTTTCTCCTTTCGAGTCGCGGAAAAGCGCGCTACTTTAGGGTTGTGGTAACCGAATGTCGTCTCCATACACAACACGCGCAATCCTCAAGGTGCGGCACTTGCGCCGATACCTAGGCCCCGCACTGAAGTATGCACTCAGGGGTAGAGAAGGACTTAAAAAGAAAGGGCGCGGGCAACAAGCGCGTTTGGCTTTGGTTGGCGAGTGGCTGGCCGAACGACAGTGAAGGCGGAGTATGGACACCGTGCATCGCTACCCTTCAGCCGCGTTCCCTCGCACTTTTGACCGAGGAAGGTGGCAAACTACTGCAGTTGCGGACCCATTTTCCACACACCGGCGAGAAGCGAAATCCCCGGCGGTAAATGCACAGTTTGCCTTTGAATGGTGAGGTGGCGATTTCCTCAATTGCTCCCGAGAAGGGATTTTGATGGGAATGCTGCCACCTTTTTAATTATTCATTTTGTAGTGCAAGAAGACTCCGCACGACTAACTGGGCGCTTCTGTTTGTTGTGCGATGTTTGTCGACCTGAAAAGGAGTTGCGTACAACGTCGAAAAATTCTGCTCAAAGTGTTATACTTATTGGATCACTTTATATGGACAATTTGATCGATATTAGCACCGCTCGCCGAGCTTATGACGATACACAATTCAAGCGTGTACGAATTTGTAGGAATCATTTTGTTGAAGCTGTGAGTTTTTCCAGTCTCTTTGTTCTGTATTATTTGTAGTTGTGATCACAGAAACCAGTCGGGGCGTGTCAGCCGCGCGTGAGTTTTGGCACGACCTTCGTTCTCACCTATCATTGAGCTCTCAAGCCGCAACGATCGATGGAGAACAGGTCGGCGCCGTGCCAAAACCCACGCCTTCTGATGCGCTCCGACTCACTCCAATGGTAATGACTGTGCTGAGTTTTAATAATTATAGGCTCTATTCATTAGCAAACAAGTACAACGGCTTTGGGGTAGTTATCCTGGCCATGGATTCCAAATACCCGGTGCAGTACGGCTAGATTGCGTGTTGGTTTTTCAGAAGTTTGCACGCTCTCTTGAAGTGAGTCTTCATTTTTGTCCTGTTTGTTTCCTTTCGTTTCATTCTCACCTTCGCTCATATTTCAGAAAGGTCTGGTTCATCTCAATGAGACTGATCTAACTCGATTTTACAATGATTGCATGGCAAGGTATCATGACGAAGTCTGTTGGAGACGTGTAAAGGTGGGTAGGATTTGTGAAATTTGGGAAGGGGAAGGGAATAATTTCTTCAACGGCCCATAGTTTCGGCGTGGTCGTCTTCCTCAAAGGCCCAAAAATGTTTCGAGTTTAGAACATGAAAGCTACCCCGTCAAGAGTCCTCTCTCAAAAACTGGGTGGAAGGCGATCAGCATTCCAAGGAGGAGTTCTCCGCTCAGAGAACAACAGGCATGCGTGAGGCGTCTGCTCAAAGTTCATCTTTTCTAGGGGTTACTGGGAGCTCATGGGAGCGAAATGTGCACGAGAGAACCCTCCTACCTCCATAGTGTGCAGTTTTGTTCGCTGTGGACTGGGGTGTGTCAGGGAGCTGTGGCACGGCATCAGCCCATTCTTCAGAAACTATTGATGGAAGAGCGACAGCAATTTGTGGAAAAGGGGCTACATAGCGCCAAACCCAGTCCTGACCGCTCAGCATAAGCATAGTCCATGACTGTGTACCTATTCTCTCCGAAAAAGTTTCAAAAATTTTCGAAAAACAGGGCTGTCTTGGGAAATGTTTGAAAGATTCCGCCGGACCTGGATAAGATCGACTCATTGTTTTTCATCAGAAGAGTCTTCTTCTTCTTCTGTAGTGGTTTCACTCTCGTTGACATATGATTCATGAAACACTTTTAAGGATCCTCCGAAAGTGAGCGAAAGCATCCCGGTTCCGTCGTCATCAACTAGTCATTCTCCCAAAAGTGCGGAAAATGTCACCAATGGTAAGTGTTATAGAAAAATGGCATGTCGATGTAGTGGTACCATTGAAAATGTTTGAAAAACATTAGTGTAAAAGTATAGCAGACCATGAAAACTAGGTTCCTTTGCGATGATCATAATGAAGCCGGTTTGCAGCAGCACGTATGTTTGCTTCCATTGAAGTGGTATTTTTGGTTTTTGGAAGAATTTCATTGAAGTCTGTAGAATCTCTTGAAATGACGCCAGCAAAAGAGGGGGCAGGTCAACTACCCGGCGCGGGAGATCAAGTGAAG